CAACTTTATCTAATTAGATTTATAACTTGTTATAATTAATGTAAGAAAAACCATTAATCATTCAACATAAATGATATTGTTGCATATTGAAATTAAACCTTAACCAATCCCAATTAACTGTAAGGCTCCTCTCAACACTACATGCCATAAAAAATTATTAATTGTAATGTTGACTAACCGAAGTTAGTCAATGATTTGGGAGTGAGCTTTATTTGACTCAAATAAGAGTTCAAGAACTTATTTGAATGCAATAAAAGGATAAGAGCTAAATTGACTTTCTAAGTATAGTTTGGGGACTTATTGCGTATTTATGCTAAATTTTGTATATTTTAATATTTTAAAAAAAGAATAAAATTAAATAAAGAAATTAATATTTTAAATGAAATATAAACTATTAATATTTGGAAATTAAAATAAATAATCATATTAAATTTAAATAATAATAATTTATTAATATTTTTAACAAATTATTAAAAAATAAATATTTTAATTTAAAAATTAAATATTATAATTAATGGTATTTTTGTCATTTATTACTTATTCCTTAATTATTTCTAAAACTATTCCTTCTAACCAAATATTAGAATAATTCATAATAGCAATTATTGTTATATTCAATTCCATGAACCAAACTACATTATTCATCTTTTATTCTATTCTTACAAAATGGCTATTCTATTCTCACTCTATTCATTCTGCAAATCAATATGACAGAAAAGCATTAGTAAAGTAAAAAATATTTCTTTAGATGTATTTTTACAAATAAAGTAAAAGATTTATTTATAGGGTAATAACCACTTAAATCCTAATCTTAATTTAATTTAATTTATATCTAAATTCATATATACATAATCAAATCTAAGTGGTCAAATTAAATTATACTTCTTATGTTTAACTTGTTGCGCTGTTTGACTTAGTTTAAACTTCTTAGGTCATTAATATAATAAACATTTATGCATATATTTATAATAATTTTAGAAATCTTTTAAAATTTTAATTTGTTGGTTAAATTTTTATATTCAAATTTTCAAAACAACGACCTGTAGATATAAATTCAAACTAACTATTAATATGTATTTTGAAATCAAAATAGAAGTACCTATGGATTAAGTTTGAATCCGTTGAGACAGACTTACATTTCATAAGTCAAGCCTTATTTTTGCATTAATATTTTGGAATTAAAATTAAACACTCCGAATGTAAAATGGAATCAATGAATGTAGGCCGTTGGGGTGGTTGAAATTAAAGAACCGAAAGCCGATTCCATTCTCCCATTCAAACCTTCAACCTGCATTAGGCAAAGATCCTCACCAACCAAAACAAGGAAACACAATTGAGTAACAAGAAGAAAAAGACAAGAAAAGATATCTAATAATCTGGCTGAATGCCTAGCTAACACACCTAACGTCCTGAATCCTGCTGGTGCAAGGCATCTCCACATCATTATTTTACATTTACTTCAGTCGTTAAAAGAAATGTACTTCAGTACTACTATAACATAGTCAAAATATCCCGTAGGTCTTTATATTATGGATTTTGTATCAATTTAATTTATTTATCTCAAAATTTGTTAATTTAATTTTATACAATCGAGTCTTTTTGTCTAATTTCGTTCAAATTGATTATGAGTGGTGCTGATGTGTCAAATAAAAATCTTTTTTAAGAAACAAATTTTTTTGAACCCAAAAAATATTTTTTTTTCTTTATGTCGTGTCATAAAAATTAAATTAAACAAAATTGTAAAGTACAAGAATTAAATTGAACAAAACTCTATGATATATGAACTAAATTGAATAAAATTTTATAATACATGAATTAAATTGGGTACTTTTACTAATTTTTGTTTAGTATTACATTTATATAAAAAATATACCTTTACACATTAGAGGTTTATTTTGGTAATTAAAAACCATTAACTTTTCATTTGTACAAAAAATTTACGAAGTAATTACACTACTTAATTATAAGATAATTAAGTTTAATTACAAAAGAAATTCATTTATAAGAGGAACTAATGGTTCACCTCCGCATCCGTATATAAAAATATTGAATCATAATTTTCAAGTATATATACAAAAGCAAAACTATGCATACCCCAAAATTTAGACTCCATTGAATTTGTCCATATAATTTGAAAATATGCATATGATTTGCTCATATACAGATGCCTAAGTAATCGGACTACAAGTAACACATGTAGATTCTTATTGAAACATATTATTTTGAACCACATTCTATAAGTTAACTCTCATATCCTATAAACTTTACTCTTCTTATCGTAAAATTAGAAACGTTAACTTGCCCTTCAAGTACAAAATGGGAATGTAACTTTTTGAAATACCAATTTTTTTTTTTTGCCTTAATGTTTGATAATACAGTGTGAAGTCCAAGAGGAAAATGACAACCTAAAATAATTTATGGATTTAGGCAGGGCCAGATCATTGTTCGCTAAGTCGTCCCTTCTAATTAAATGCCACCAAATTCTTCAAATCCTACACGCTAGTGTAGATCTAACTTGCCCTAGACCTAACTTGCAGACCACTATCGTCATGTTGAGATTGTCTGTTTGGGTTGAAGAAACTTGTTAGAAGGATTAGGCATGACGAGGTTGGCCACTTTTTCAAGTTTAATCGTTGTACTCAATTAATCTTTTTTTTAACTAATTAATCGTGGCACACAAACGGTAATAATACCATTTACGAAAATTTTGATGAGCTCATATAAATGTATTTAATTCTTTAAAGACTGTGTGATAGTTTTCTTTTGTGTTAATCCTCCATTTCGTACTAAATAACTTTAAAGTCATATGGATTTTCTGAAATTTATTTTGACAAAAGTATTATCAAATTTTGAAATATTAAGTTATTTCAAGCAGGCTTTAAGATTATATTTTAACTTATAAAACTCGATGATTTTAGTTTTATTTTGCATTTATTTATGTTTAAATTTCTTTTTAAATAGTTAATAGTAATTTAATGCATCATAATAATTATTATCAATGAACTATTATTCAATAGTAACAAAGGGGTCTAAAAACTTTCAGATTTTAGGTTAAACTCTCACTGTGTATAATTTTCTAATTAGTTTTATGCATTTATGTTGATGTGACACAAATGCTGTCATCACTCTTACATTTTATTGGTACTTAAGTGGTACCAAATTTTCAAAAAAAAAAAAAGAAAGATAAATGTAAAGGATGTCAATGATGTGGCAATTGCGTGACATTTTGATTTGAAGTCATTCAATTGACTGAGGGTTAATTTAAAAGAAGAAAAAACAGGTTAAATTTTTGAAAAGTAAGTAGAAATATAATTTTTGTGTCATAACAAATATATCTACTTATTTTTTATGTTATTACATAGGATTTTATCTCACAAGTTAAATTTAATTTTTTAATTCAAGAGTGGAATCTAAAAAATCGATGTTAAAATTAATGAGATAAAAGAGAATTATTTATCATGAAATAATCTGAATTTAATGGACTTTTTTGTATTTTACAAAAGAAAAAAAAATTCTAACTTCACATTCGTGTGTTATGCTAGTGCAAATTTAATATTCAAAAAAAAAATAATATTAAAACAAGATGACTATAGCAATAATCTTTTTCAATAACATAAAAAATAAAAGTATATACAATAAAAATGATAGTAAAGAGATTGCTAAAAGACTTTTACAAAAATATAAATTAAGTGTGGGTATATGAAACGTGAGGAGGTTACTTGTAATTACCTTAATTAATAACATTGTACAATAGGTGGTGTGAGATTGGAGCCCTACAAAAGATCAAGGAGGTTATTCTCAAAATTTAATTTGGAGTTTGAGGTAATTTATTTATTATTTTATTTTTTTATTTATAGAATGAAATATAGATATAAAATAATTATTATGGAGAATAAAATAAGAGACGAAAAGAATAAATTACAAGTAATTGAAAAGAATAAATATTTGAGATCCAAATATAGAGTAAAATTCAAAAAATCACTTAAAATATTTTAAAATGATACTTTGATATTTTTTATTTCAAAATGATATTTTTTGTCCTTTGACTGTTAATATCGTTAATGGAACAGTTAAAAAATTAAATTTAATATTATATAAATATTTTAAAATATAAATACCTTTTATATTATTTTTTAATTTAAACTTATTTTCTTTTGAAAAAAAATCTACTCATCACTCCCTTAAAAACCTTAATAAAAAAAACCTAAAACATTTTTATTTGAAGGTTTAAAAATTGGAAGTCGTATTCACCTTAAAACCATAAACTTTTTTTTTAAAGTAAAATCTACTGTCATCAAACTTTTTATTTTTCTAATAGTATGAGAATTTTTTTTCATTGAAAAGAATAAATAAAAAATAAATCTTTTATTTAAAGATTGATATTTCAAATTTAATGGTATTAGGTGAAGAGGTTAATATTTTACTTATAATTACTAATTTTATCGAAATAATTTTACTCAAAATTTGTTGTTTGACACTAGGGCTTAGAGTGACATAAAAAAATTTTGACTTGATTATTATATAAAAAAGATTTTAAGTTTATTTTTTCTTTATCAAATATTAAATTTTATTAAATATTAAAGTGAGATAAATTACAATATTCACAAATCTCGTTTTAAAATTTTATAAAATTTTAATTTTTTTATTATATATTATATTTTATTAATATTAAAATAAATTTTATGAAATTTTGAAGTAATTTTTTTAAAAAGGCATTTATATTGAAAATTATTTATATAATATTGATTATAATTTTTTTAATTATTGATTAACAGTGTTAAAAACTAAGAGATAAAAATATATTTTAAAACAAAAAGGTCAAAAGTATCTTCTCTTTTTGAAGTGTTTGGAAGACCTTTTGAATTTTACCCTCTAGATAAACGAGAAATGTGAAAAAGATTATTACAGGTCGTCTGCCCAACCTTCCTACTCATTTTTTTTTTTATTTTTTGTTATTTCTGGGCAAGGGAAAACTGCTTTTAAAGCTTTGTCTGTCTTCATCGTTTTTTCATTATGTCATTTTCTGTTCTTCCATCTCTTGTCACGCTCTCGCGGTAATACTATTAATACCATTTTTCTCTTTTATTTTTTGCTTTATATAAAAATATAACAAACAATTTTCTTCGAATCAATTCTCACAATTCAAAATAAAGAAAAAGAAATATTTACTATATATCTAAAATCTCACTACAAACCTACGCTTTTCTGCGAACCTCGAGCGCTTCACTAGTGGTGGTGTGCATGGCGATTGCAGCGGCAGTTGTCATCGTTCCAGTGGGCCTGCTCTTCTTCATCTCCGGCCTCGTTGTTAATCTCATTCAGGTTCCTTTCTTCGGTTTTTTGGGCTTTTGATAGATTTGGTTTTGTTTTAACTTCTTAAGGGATTTGCTTCATCTTTTGCTTTGATTCAGTTAAGTGGGGTTTTTTTTTTCTTGGGTAATTTTTGCTTTTGTGTTTTTTTTCTTTCCCTTCAAATTTGTTGTGGTTGCATTTAAAAAAATGCTGGTAAATGGATTTCTCTTTTCTTTATATTTTTTTGAGCTGAGATTATTAATGAATAATGAGTTTGTATGTACATCTGGTTTTTGAATCTACTTTAATTCTCAGCAAATAAAATTTGGGAAAAAGAAATTTAACTCGGGATCTTTGGTTTAAGCTTGATACAACCTTCTGCTTTTGTTGCCATGTTTGCTTAAATTTTTTCGCGAAAACGTTTTCATACTAAAAATGGGATTTAAGAGTTCATTTTGTTGCATTTGATTCAGTTTGATTAATTGGCTGATGTGAAAATCTTATTTCTTAGATTTCTTCGTCAATGACCATTTCTTATGTTATCCAATTTAATGCTTTTTTCAGGCAGTTTGCTTTGTTCTCATTTGGCCACTGTCCAAGAACACCTATAGAAAGATCAATAGGGTAGTGGCAGAGTTGTTGTGGCTGGAACTCATATGGCTTGTTGATTGGTGGGCGGGAGTTAAGGTGTGAGCTCCTTCATTTCGTTTTTTAAAATCATATGTTTTGTATCGTCAATTTATTACTTTCTTTGGCCATTTTTGAAGATAATTTAGTCTAATGCTGAAACCCTTTATAGGAAGGCAGTTTATGATGATCAAATGCCTAAGAGCTTGTCACTTTGTGCTGGTCTTAACTATTGTGGTTTAAGTTTGTTTTACAGAGTTGTAGATGAAGGTATAAATTTATCTCAAAGTAGAAATATTATGCTATCCTGCTGAGAAGAATCATTGAGGTTCCTTGCCTGAATGAGTTGATAACTGCAAATGCCAAAAGTTTGTCCTTGTAATAGTCATTAGTTCTTGGATAAACTATTAACTTATCTTCCTGGGTGAAAAGAAATGCGATGAGATGACTTGGAAGACAGGGAGATTTTGAATTTCAAGTCCTAATTGTAGGATAACTAGAAGTCTCTTTTGCACAAGTTTTAACCATGCATCTAATGATTGTGAGCCAAATTCATTTCTGCATATAGCAAGTTCATGTGCCATTTTGCATAGTTGCTTTTTTATTCTATCATGACATGTATATGTTTTGGATTAGCTGGTTTTCTTTGTTTTGACTTGTAGTGTTTGCTAATATCTTTAGTGATTAAGCAACAAGTGTTGTGTCAGTCATTGGTTTTTGGTATATATGTTTATCTTCATTGTTTTCTGTTGCCATTCACAAGAAGATTCGATGGCCACATAGGCTGTAAATTGGGGGCTTAAAGATGTTAACGCTAAGCATCAAATGTTAATGCTACTTCATTTCCATCTAGACTTGTAAAAAGTAAGTCTCAGAAATAATCTTTACTACGGTGAGCACTAAGATATAGAATCCACTCGAAAATTTCCACTGCCTGCTATGGGATTCTAAATATGGCTGTATTTTTGTCAATGAATATGAATGGAAATTTTGGAATCTCAACTTATGGGATGTTTCTTAGACAGAGGTATTAGAAAGTGAGATTGTTGTGCAGTGTCAAAATTTGCATGCCTCCAGTGACTGGCTAATTCCATTAGCTGGTAGGCTTTAGTTAAATAAAAGCATTTTGTCCAACTAGCATTTTGGTGTCCATAGGCTTAAAGATTGGGGCATTGTCAATTCATCTAGAATTATGCAAATATGAGTTGAACTGTTGCTGGGAAGTTTCTACTTTCTCTAAATGCTGATAGATGTTCCTTGATATTGATTGAGGTGGTAATTATTAGCTGTTAGTAAGCCAACTTTTATTAATGTAGAAAAGAATTGGTACCATGAATGCCATACCTTAAGTAGAATCCTAAAAATTATCTTTTGATCTTTGAGACATTTTATGTGCAGATTAAAGTGTTCACAGATCCTGAAAGCTTCAATTTAATGGGTAATGTTAATTTCTACTGGGAAACTTAGTTCTCAGTCTTTGTGTTACATGAACAATGGGTAATTCTTCTGTCCTAAAATTTTTTAAATGGTTTATTTATCATATGATATTGTGAAAATTTTCAGGTAAAGAACATGCCCTTGTTGTGGCCAATCACAAGAGTGATATTGATTGGTTAGTTGGATGGCTTTTGGCTCAGGTCTGTAATTGATATGTTCCAACTCAGAATTTTTTTGCATACTGTTTGGTTGAAATGCGCATTCAAAAAAAATATTTGATACTGCTTGGAAATTTGCTATTTGGCATTCTAACTTCATTTTTTTTCTCTCTTAAAATGTGGCTAAGATACAATTGAATTTGCTTTTGGCAGCGTTCAGGATGTCTTGGCAGTGCATTAGCTGTAATGAAGAAATCCTCAAAATTCCTTCCGGTATATGTTGTTGTTATATGTTTGAAGTTTCAACTCTCTATTGGGAGATTGTTTTCATTACCAGTTATTTTTGAGTGCATTTGGATGAGAGATTTTATAGAGCAATTTCATTTGTAGAGAGAATTTTCAAAGTCCTAAAACCAAATTATCTTGTTTGTCAAAATAAAATATGGAATTGTCAAGATTCTTAAATTTGGGTGAGGGATTTTGGAGGGCCCAAATTCTCATTTCAAAGAGGTAAAATTTGTGAAATCCTTGGTGTGTTTTTTTTTTTTGAATGGCGAAATCCTTGGGTTTTTAACAAGACATCAACATTTATTATGTTTTTCTCTCTTTACGCAGCTTCCATTTTTTTCAACTATAACTACAAAAACTCTTTTTTTTTAAAAAAAATATTTTTTGACTTTTTCATATTGTTGATAATATCTACATATTTTTATAAATATAATGACACCCATATTGCATAATTTTCTCCATTTTTTAAAATTTTCTGGGCCTAAGAATATTATTCTTTTATAATTCTTTTTGTTATCCCATCAAATTGAAATACTAAAAATTTCATTCTAAAAATTACTTATCCAAACAATGCAATTATAATTGCTATTATTTTGAATTGACGTATTTTAAAATTCTTTTTATCTTAAAAGTCTTGAAAGTTTCAAAATTTTTCATCCAAAAGTACTCTTAGTTTCAGCTGATATTTATATTGTCTTCAATTTTGAATGGTAATAGGTCACATATGTAAATGTGTGAGATGTGATTAGCTTAGTAGGTAGTTAATGAGGTAAGTTAATGAGCAGGAAGTGAACATAAATGCCATTTTTTATTTTTGAAAAGAAAATTTAACATGACTAGTGAGACACTCTGATCAAAATTTCTCATTTTTATATTATGTTACATTTGCTTCTGCTTCTAAATCTGGAGTAGGATTTTTCACTTGAAAATCTTGTATTCTCAGTCAGGAGTTTAAAGTTTGGCTTGTGAATCATGTATGAAGTAAGTGTGTTAAAAGGATGGAGAGATGATCTTGATTTTTTTAATGAATGGTCATGTTTATTTATATAGTTAGTCTGGGTGATGGAGAAGCAGGTCTTTTGTTGAAGTATCAGTTTATTCTTTTTTCTTTTGTTTTCTTTTCTGACTTCTATTGTTCGATTGGCTCAATTTCTGATTACTAACACTTGGATCCTACTTTCTTCTGCCTGAATTAGAATATTATGAAACAATACCATTATGTTCCTGGTACAGTTAATTTGTATTTCGTAGTGACAATTGGTGTCAGTCTTTCTCATGATGGGCGATTCAGTGAAGTGAGTGAAGTCTATTTTTTTGCCTGACTTACCATTTGGGTTGTCTCATTATGTTTTGTTTTTACTGCATACTGGACATTTTTTTTATTTTGTTTTTTAAAGAAGCAAACAGGGTTTTACTTTCACATACTTATGAAGAATAAAATTGACATCTGATATGTGCAGGTTATAGGTTGGTCAATGTGGTTTTCTGAGTATCTGTTTTTAGAACGAAGCTGGGCCAAAGATGAAAACACATTAAAGGTAAAAGTTTGCCTTAATTTCTTAGATGCAAGCATATCAAGAAATATTATGCTCTCTGTATTTTATTCACATTACATGACGATAAATATTGCCATATTTACTTGTGTGCTCATGCATACTTGTTTTAAACGACCCCTATTGATCTTGTTCAAATCTTGTGTAACCATATTTGCAGGCAGGTCTTCAACGTTTAAAGGACTTCCCACGGCCGTTTTGGTTGGCTCTTTTTGTAGAAGGGACTCGCTTCACACAAGCAAAGCTTCTTGCAGCTCAGGAATATGCAGCCTCACAAGGATTGCCTATACCTAGAAATGTTTTACTTCCTCGTACAAAGGTCAAATTCTTGCTGCTTCCCTTTTCTTGAATTCCTTGTCACCTTTTATGAAGGTCTTTTTTTTTTTAAAATGGATATCTAGGTAACTGAAGGAGCAATAACTGAATTTAGATTTTGTTACTCAAGTTGTTAGCATTCTTTCAATCTAAGAGGTATAATATTTCAACTTTACCTTGTAGTATTTTGGTTAATTCTAGGTAGATTTTGTTGCAACTGCCTGCAAAAACCCACTTTCCTGCTAATGCAACTTTCTGCTTTGGCAAAGTTATTTAATGCTTAGCCAGCCTCATCCATGATACATCTGTGCACCCCTATATTTGTAAAAACTATAGTTGAGAGTTAAGCATGTTGGATGTAGTTTTACTTCTCTTTTTGGTAATACTGAAATTTGTTATTTCATTCACGGCAACTCATCTTATAGGCCTTGCTAGTTTTAATTCAAATATGAAAAAATTATGCCTGAAGTAACAACATCATTTTTGTTGCTTCAGGGTTTTGTTTCAAGTGTAAGTCATATGCGTTCATTTGTCCCAGCCATTTATGATATGACAGTGGCTATTCCAAAAAGCTCACCTTCACCTACAATGCTTAGACTTTTCAAAGGGCAACCTTCTGTGGTAAGTTAGATTTTGTGCTAACTGTGTAAAGCAAATTATAATTATGTCTATTTAGATGTTAACATTGGTTTTGCTTTCTTTAATGTTGATATGCCCTTGGAGAATTTGCTGCATGTCTCCTTAAGGATTTCACTTCTAAATTCTCTGTTATCATGAAATTTCAGTTTAAGGCATAACATGCTTCAAAGATCTCCAATGACAACAGGAAGTGAAGGGAGTGCTTCCTAACTTGTTCACATCATTTGTCTGATCTTTTAGAATCCCTGGAGTGAAAGCAACAAGTATAGGTCATGGGCATTTCAGGAAGCAGTTAGCTACTTGTAGTTACTATATGGCAACTTGGAATTGGTTGAGTTGCTATGTTAAAGTGTAGAAGCAACTACCTGAGAATATAGTCCTAGGTTCATGCTGGAAAAGTATCTGCTTTTCCCTCTTCCTTTCCTGTGGTTGAAATATATATGTAATTTTGAAGATGTGATGAATAAACCTAAAAGTGTGATTGATTTTAAATATCCTAGTTGATAATTGAATGACTCACAGTTCTATTGGGTTCATTCAATTGATGAAGGTATGTTGTTACTCACTTGCAGGTGCATGTGCACATCAAGCGGTGTCTCATGAAGGAACTGCCTGAAACGGATGAGGCTGTTGTGCAATGGTGTAAAGATATGTTTGTGGAGAAGGTGAGCATTATTCATCTAGTGTTGTAGCAGGTGCTTATATGGGGTCTTGCATGACTTCTGAAATAATAGTTGCTTGAAAATGAAAAGAAAGATTAGTGCTACCTGGACAAAGTTGTCAATTGTTGTGTTTTAATGTTTAATCATGTTTATTGTTGTGCTTGCAGTAGTTCATGTATTAGTTTTCTACTTATTTTTTTCTCTGTTTGATTTGTCATACAGGACAAGTTGCTGGACAAATATATAGCTGAGGACACTTTCAGTGACCAACCAATGCAGGATCTTGGTCGGCCAATTAAGTCTCTTTTGGTGAGATTCTTTCTTCAAATTAACCATTCTTTGTTTTGATTTACTTCAGTTGGTGTGTTTTTTGGTGTTGGAAGAGTTGCTTCTGGAACTAACACATTTAACAATATCCTTCAGGTTGTCACCTCTTGGGCATGTCTTATTGCTTATGGGGCTCTCAAATTCCTACACCGTTCTTCACTTTTGTCCTCATGGAAGGGCATTGCATTCTCCTTCTTTGGCTTGGCCATTGTTACCATCCTCATGCACATCTTGATTCTCTTCTCTCAGTCAGAGCGTTCAACTCCTGCCAAGGTTGCACCAGGGAAGCCCAAGAATGATGGGGAGACTTCAGAGGCAAGGCGGGACAAACAGCAATAGATCAGAGCTTCCTCCCAAGATATCCATACGAAAGGAACCTCATCTGCAGTCATATTTTCATAAACCTACAGTATGTGTAGTATCTATATCACTTTCACTTTCGCTTTGATTTTAGACTTGTTTGAAGTGTCTTTGATCATCAGATGACAGGTTTGTATGCATTATCAATTCTTTGTTTTCTGGTAAACTAGGGTAATTTTTGTATAGACAGTTAAAAAGGGCTGTAGCAGTAATGGTTACATTAGGCCAGCCCTAGTGTTACTTTTGGATAGCTCTTTGGCGGATATAGGAGTTTTGGGGTTGTTGAATCTTAAAATTATATTCACTTGCCTTTATAGTTTTCATTTTCTTCACCAAGCTTTCTCTCATTTTTTATTTTCTCAATCTTGGAACATATCTCATTTTAATCTTTACACATCTTTTCTCTATTATAATAAAAATAAAAATAAAAATAAAAATACTTAGTTGAAATATCTCTGATAATTAGTTTATAACGATTTAGGATTCTTAAAATCTGGAAATTAGGATTCTTCAAGTCTGGAAGTTGATGTGTAAGAACAAAAGTAAAATGTGATTTTAGACAAATTAAAAATAAAAATAAACTCCATATATTCTTAATTCAAAAGTAAAATGTGATTTTAGACAAAAGTAAAATGTGATTTTAGACAAATTGCTTCAAGTCTGGAAATTTGTATGGTCTCAATTTAGTTATGAAAACTTCTTACTTAAAACATTTAAAACGTTAATACTAAAGTGACAACAATATTTTTTTCAATTTTAAAGGAAGTTCATATATCAGAATTAGGATAAATCTACTTATATTTAAAATTAGCTTGTTTTAAAGTGTCACCAATTAGAACCTAAGTATAACTTCATGCGAACTTAAATTCTGAATATAGAATTTAAGTCTATAAATCATTTACAAGCCTATATTCTTAATTCAAAAAAAATACTTGATAAGTGGTGGAAGATCATGTTTTTACACTCAAGTCCTACCCTAGCTCCCATGATGTGAGATTTGTGGCATTCTATTCCATTCAATTGTACAACACTCCCGTTGTACTAGCTCTTTAGCAGTAGAGGAGAAAGACTCTTGTACTAGTCTGGTTTACCTTAATCCTTGTATCTCTCATGGGGATCCACATCAGTAAAGATCCGAGTCGGTTTTAACACCACATGCCACAAGTTAGAATTTAAAACTCTTACACTAGTTTAGTTCGGGTTTACTTTCCTTGACCCTGGTATCTCTCAAAACAAAATTTAAGTCTCTCAAAACAAAATTTAAGTAAGTTTATGAATTACGGACCTCTCAACTCAAAAGATATGTTTGATAAATAGTGAAAGATCCATGGTTACATACCCAAAACCATTTTACCTCTTACTGATACGAAATTAGTCACGTTAATATCAAACAAATGTAAAAAATAATCAAACTACTATCAAGTTTATTTAGACTAATTTAAAAAAAATTATCTTCTCAAACTAGTTAGTAAATTTTTTTACATAAAACATTTCAAATATTAATGTTAAAAAAATAACATTAGTTTAATTTTAATGTAAATCTATGAGAATAATAATAAAAATTCTTATAGTTTAACTTAGTCTTTCCAAAATCTAGAAATAAATGTATAAGATTAATCGTAAAAGGTCATATTAGACATATTATAATAAAAAAAATCAATATTAAATTTGTTCAATAGAATTTTGAAGAATTTTGTATCTTCCCAATCTGAAACTACCTATTAAGAATTATCAAATAAAATATTTTAAATATTAATGTTACAAAAATAATATTTTATTAATTTTAATGTAAATGTATGAGAATAAGGATAAAAATACTAACAATTGAAATTAATCCTTTAGAAATCTTGATGAAAATTTATAAAAATAAGAGTAAAAATTCATATCAAGCAAAGTACAAAAATCAATATTTAGTTATTTAAATAAATAAAATTTAAACTAATTTGTATCCTCTCAAAGTCTTAAATTTGCTATAGTCTTCATTAAAAAATTTAAAAATGTTAATGTTAATATAAAATTTTTAAAAGATTTTGACGTAAATATATGAGAATAAAAATAAAAATATATAAAGTAGAAATAAGCATTGTTAAAATATAACCACCAATGCAGATGAATAAAGGTAAAAATTCAAATTGGCCTACTAAAATTTTTTTAAATTTTTTTTTGTATTTTAAAATAAATTAATTTGAATAAGTTTTCTTAAAATCGATCTACATGTATAAAAATAATATAAAAAATCTTTATTTGTCTAAATACAACATCTATGTTTGAATAACAATTTTAATTAAAATTTTATACTTTTTGACAAAAATGTGAAAAAAAGCATAGAGTTTTTTTGCAGGTAGGCATGAAAGAGGTGGAACTATTGCGAGATTCAATTGGCATGGGTTTCAGGGCACAAGGTTATGGAGGTTTTCTGAATTGCTTCATTGGAGATGGTCGTTGTTTATAGTTTTTGTTGAAAACATAGTAGTAGGTACTTCTTAGGCGAACATCAAATAGGTTTTGATCAGTTTGAAATTGTTGTGGATGTTTTTGTTCCTCATAGATCTTAAAAAGATGGGTATAATTGTGCTCTTGTGAGATATAGGTACGAAAGGGAGATGCTTTTGGTTGTTGAAAAAGGGAATAGGATGATGTTCTCTAGTTGGAGATTGAGAGTAAACAGGGTAGATACAAATGAGAGATATGTTTCAGGTAATGGTCGAAAGTAGTGCTATGAATCTTGTAGGTAACCTAAATCATTCTTTTAAGAACATGGTGGTGGGTAATGCTGCGATAAAAGATGAACCTTTGTCGTTGAAAAAGCATATGCTAGCTACGAAAAACGTACATGAAGTGGAGGATAGGGTTGGGAAAAAATTAATGCAGAATAATAATGATAAGGAGGGGATGGTGAAGGTGCATCCTACGGAAAAGAATGGCATCAATATGTATATTCCTGAAAATAATTAGGAATGGTTGCAAAGGAGTGTTATTGGTTTTATCCGAGAAAGTGGTATGGCAAAGTGGGTTTGAATTATGGGTGCGGCTTAATGGGAGTTTACACGTCCTTGTTACTTTCTAAATTCTGATTTAATGGAGGCTTTAGTATTTGACTATATGGATTTTATGAGAAAGTGGTTCTCGAATTTGTTGCCTTACAATGCCATGAAGAGAAAGGTGATTGTGTGTTGGGTGAGAATTAAGGATGTTCCAATTAATATTTAGCATCCAAGTTTCTTCATTGCTCTTGGATATTCTTGGGGGAGTTTTATTAAAATGGATCCTCATACCATGGCTATGGAGAATTGTGGTTATGGAAGGATCCAAATTACATTTCATGGGATGCAAAATATTCTAGAATTCACCGAGATTAAGGTTAGGGAAGAGATCTTTGTGATTTGTGCAGTGGTAATGGTGGTGGCCATACGAAAAAAATATCCTCAATGTCTACTGAGTTTCCTGAAAATAAGTGTTTGGACGAGAGTGGAAAGCTTGAAATGATGAATGGGTTGGCTGTTTCAAAGGTTTTGAATTTGAATAAAGAAAAGTGTCAAGAGGTTGAAACTCATTCAAATTTAAAACCAAGGAAGGTTGAGTTGGATTTTACCACTGTGTTATAGTTGAGGATATTTTTCAATGGTAGGTAGGTAATTTAATCAAAAAAAAAAATTGAATCTTTATCTCCAATATCACATGAAGGGTTGATTAATTATGTGGTTAAAGTTGATTCGAACAATAATTTTTCCTTAGATGAGGGAATTAAAATATGTCTTAAAGTAAATGATGAAAAGGATGATTTTAATAATATTGATGATTGTCGGATCGACTAAGTGGAGAATTTTAATGTGGATGGTAGTTTAATTCGTTCATATTTAGTCACTGATGGTCTAAATGGGGAATATAGCCCAAAATTAAACATGGCTAAGGATTATTCAAATTGTATAATTTCTGGTGACAAGGAGCCTTTCATGATAAGTTCAGTAGCTATTGATTTCAAGACTTGTTTGTTGCAAGTTGATCTAATGCTAAGTTTGGATACAACCATGTGATATTGTTCTTAGGACATCAGAAATTTACAAGGATGAAAATATTGGTAGGGTGCCGCAACTAGCTAGGGTGTTATTTAAAGAGGTAGAGGCAGACCATGTGACAAGAAACAGTAAGGTGAGACAAAATCTTATGTGGGAGGTATGGTCTTGTTTAGTTGAAGTCATTTGGAGGATGGCAAATAATGGGGAGGAGGGTAATGTTAGTCATAAAGTTGAAGCTGTTTGGGATGTTTCCAAAAAAGTGGGAATGGATTTTAAAAATTCTATAGAGGAAATATTGGAGTAGGATTTAGTGGATTGATGTGATTGTGTAAATCATGAATTTAAAAAATTTCTTTTATAAAGAAAGTAAGCAATCTAATTACATAAGTGAAAACACACATCATTCTTATTGCAAGTAATATAATCACATCATACAAAAATAAGAATCTATTAAGTAAGAAAAACATACATTTTATTTTAAGATTCTTATTTTTAGACATCATCAAACTAATGAATGATTTCTCGATCAAACAAGTTTACTACTTATTCTTCAAGACTGTTTTCAACTTGAACCTTAAGTGGACAAAGTGTAGAATGCTAGATTATAAGATGACAACTGATTTTGTCTCTTTTTTCTTCTTAAAAATTAATGATTATTTTTTTTTCAAAAAATTCAGCGGAGAATGGGAGAGAGGAAGAAAGAAATGGTAATGTTTGAAAGAGGAAAAGAGAAGTACCGATTGAAACTTTTTCAAGAAAAACTATGTACATTTTTTTTCTTTCAATCTCTTTTCTTTTTATTAAAACTCTTACTTCAAAGGTTTAATCAAAATCAAACACCTTTGAATCGATCTTGACCATCCATTTAGAGTTATGTAAACATCAAACATGTTCCATAATTATCAAAATTAAAATTAAAAAATAAATAATTTAATTCTTTAATTATCATTTAGAGTTCTTGATAAAATGAAACTCTTTATTAAATAATAACTCTTATAAGGAGATTAAACACGGGTCCACTATCCATCAGGATTTTGATTTTATTATAAAAAAATGTATAAGTGTAAGATCAAAGTTTAAGTAACAGTTCAACTTAAATTTGATTCTCATATGATTTCAGTTCATATTATAGTATCATTACTCGAAGTCAACCAATTTGATGATTTAAGACTCATCATTCTCTTTGAATCACATTCATTTTGTTGGAAGTAATTTGGACACTATAACCTTAATACAATAAAGTGACCAGCTTTATTATATGGCTGTGAACAATTTTTAAATTCAATTAAAATACATGTCTTCTATGTATGA